AAATGATTAAGAAACATTTCTTACAGGTGTTTCGTTCAGTCTCCATGCTCAGACCTAAACGTTAGCTGGTATGGTCTATGGTCGTGCTCTTCCTGAATTATCACCATCACTCACATGATGCGTGGGATATCACTGACGGCCACAGATCCATCGTTAGCCCCGCCCTCTCCCTCCTCATCCTCGCTGCTGTGGGACTCCTCACTGGACGACGAGTAGTCAGTCACTTTGACCGGCGGGCGGCTGGTTTCCTCGCCCTGCCGCAGCTCTCTAAGCTCTTTGGCCAGAGCCGTCAGATCCTGCAGGAAGACAAGTTCAAAAGTGACTCAACACTTAGTGTGACCATTTTATAACGCGCCTATTTTTGTCTTTAATAAGTTTATCTTCTTATATATCCGGCGTGTGGCTTCTTGGATGTTTAAATATCATAAATGAAAGGAATTCGGTCCATCTATGAAAGTCTTTTGTAGCTTAAATATCACATCTGAAAAGCTCTGCTAAGATGTTCCAACACCACAAAAGCACAACTCTCAGGTGTGAAGACAGATTTGCATTTCATTAAATTTTAGATGAATATCACACTGAAAATAAAGTGTTTAATTAGCCGAGTAAGAGCGCGGATGATGAAAAAGTAATTTGGCAGCAAAAGCAATTTTAATTTTAAACGATATTTGAGAATTCACTCGCTCGACACCAGAGACCAGACGAACTACACGAGTTGTCTGAGAGAAAGATTCACGACAAATTCATGGCAGGAAACATTTTTACAATAAAAAAATCACAGTAATATAAATATACAGCGATCAAATAGAAACAAAGCTGACCTGAGGTGACGTTAAATCAATCATTTAAGGAAAATTCATTTACACAAAAATCTCACAGTCGGTGCTGCAAAGTTTGAGGTGGAACAAAGTGAAACATGCTATCACAAACACCTCTCATCATCCTGGATTATGCCCCCCCCCCATAAAGGTTTGCATTAGACACAATAAAAAAAGCTGCATGTCTGATATTCCTTATTTTTTGCAATCCTGGAACGCTTCAGCGACTCTCGCAGCTCTCCTGCCTCTTTGCGGCGCTGCAGCGGCTCAGAAGCAAAGAGCAGGAAGCAAATGTGTTTCTGGTTTTTGTGCCACCATGCAAGCAGTTAGCGAGTCCGTCGAGAGGAGGACGGTGAAGTGAGAGAAGGAGGATGCACAATGCCTCAAAGTGGGAGGTCAAAGTTCAGCAGACTTGAGCCTCTGTGATATTTTACAGCGAGCAGCCAGGTACATGCACCCTGACGCCTCATCCAGCTTCTGTGCACTGCCTCTGCTCCGAACACGTCACAGCGGCACCAATTTAAGTTAGAAATGTTTGAAATGGTTTGAAAAGCAGCGGATATCCTGTCTTTACAGCTGAGATGCTCTTTGCAACATTTTCCTGTTGTGAAGTTTAATAAATGTTTCTCTCTGGATCACATGAATAACCCAAAGCTTCTCCTGTAAGACCTTAATGCATGAAACCTTCACACGAGAACTCTGTGCAGCTCTTCAGTTTCACTGTGAGCCTCACAAACCATGTACAGGAGTTTAAAGGAGGAAAATGTATTATTGGAAATTTAAAACACCCCATAAAATACAAAAAAATAATACACTCATAAATATACAGATAATATATTTATCATCTGTATATTAAATATATATTAAATAATGAATAATTTGATGATTATAAAATCCATAATAATTTACTACAAAATAATAAAGTTGCTAAAAAAATTAAGTAATAAAGTAATTATATAAATACAGTAAACAAAAAATACAATTAATCTAAAAATCTAAAGTAATTTTACACATAAAAATAAGGACTATAAAATAT